CTGAACTGTGACTACTCCCTCGGAGGTGCCCCTAACCACGGCAAATAGGACTGTGATTAGTTCAGATAATAATGTAGTAATAAACGCACAAGACTGAGAGGAGACCTGGAATCTGTTCTTGTTGGCTTGATGTATGACCTTGGGGAGCTCTTTTACTTCGTGTCTTGATTTCCCCATCTTTAAAACAGGGTGACTGATATTTCCCTTGGGGTGGGGAGGCAGGCATTGTGAGCCTGATTTGATATCTGTAAAGTTTTTTGAGAATCAAATGGAAGGAGCTTTACAACTCAGAAGTGCTAATACTACTAAGAAACAGGTTTCAAATAAATGTTTTTGTTTAAAATTCAGCCTGAAATATTTTGAAATATATCATGTGCAGTGGTACCTTGTGGGGTATTAATGTGTCAGAGAAGGGGGTCTAGGAAGAAAAGTCAGTGTTGGTTTCATTTTGCTTGTAAACTCAGGTGATGGTTTTACAAAAAACAGTATCTGATAGGAATAAAACTTGCCTCTCTGAAAATAGATGTGTGATCTGTTGAAGGAGACCTTTGCTATATTCTCCTTGATTAGAACAAAAGCCTGTTTTAGACTGAGATTTAGATTTTTTGCTTGTCTATCAACCACCTCATCAGATTTCAAAGACTAAAATTTCAAGTTACAAATCTTTCTGAAGGGCAAAATAAGGGGAACTTCCCTCATTGGGACTGGAACCTTGGTAATATTATGCTAATAGCTCTCCATTTTCATTTGCTAAACTAGACCCCCAAATGTGAACACACAGTAGTAGCAGAAAAGATTTCTGAACAGATAATGCTTAAACTCCAGAACTGCTGAAGAGAGAATGGAAATAAGTAGATCCTTTTATCTGGAAATCTTATCTTGCTTGGGGAATGGCAGGTTTATTAAAATTTGGAACAGTCTTTGGAGTGAATGATTCAGTTACTTACTGTGTCCCCCTATGCTATGGCAAGAAGGGCAAAAAAGGAACCTTTGTGCCAACTTTCTGTCTGAGATTTGTTTAATAAATGCAGTTCCTAAAAAGTGGAAGGGAATTTGATGGTTCACAATGGCTTATATCGCCTACATTTTGGGTGTCCTTTCCCTTCCCTTAGGTGAGGAGGTCTGACGAAAAATCCTGCTTTTGTTTCAGATCATCTTAGTTTACCCTTAAGTCTTAATACAATGAATTTCAATATCCAAGACAGAAGTCTGATGCTGTACTAGAGCTCTGCTCCTGCTTCTGTTGAAATCAGTTGGTTTGTTTTGCTAGCTGCAAATTAACTAAAATCATTTAACACCTCCCACCCTGCTTCTTAGCACTTTTTTTAATAGTGTAGATAAAGAGAGAATATTTTGTGCCAAAGAGATAACATTTTGCAGAGCAAGGACCCGGTCCTGCAACTTGGTCCAAGGCAGGTTCAGGCCCCCAGTGAGAAGTGGGAATGACTGCTGACTGAATGGCAGGGTTGCTTGCTGGAAAATAACTTCTTCCTCTAGTCTCAACGAAAGCAGCATGGAAAAAGGCAGTGTAGTTTTGGGGGTTGGTTTTTTGTGTCAGTGTTTGTTTTTGTAGTTTGAAGCAGAAATTGTTATTGATACAAGATCTAGCTTGATGGATTTTGGCTCCTTTGTTTCTGAAACACAGCAACTGTTTTGCTGTTTATTTCATCACAGCTACCTTTCTTTGTCCCTCTAAACATCCCAGAGCCCGTAACAAATTACTTTCCAACTTCTCTTCCACAGCAGATTGTGTTCTCCAGTAAATTGGAAGATGTGTGTCATCCCTTCATTTTCTGTCTCCAGCCTGAAGTCCCATATATGAAATCTGTTTACATACATTTTCAGAGCTAAATTCTCTGCTGACATAAATGGGCACATCTCCTCTGGAATCAGTGGAATTGTACCTGTCTACCCTAGTAGTGAATGCAGACTGGCACTGAAATGTCCTCACTCCAAACTTCACATTTTGGACAGATCATGAAAGGAACTTCAGAAAGAAAAAAAAAATAGTGATTACAATAAATTTGTATGTATTTTTAATTACACACTGATTTTGCATGTTAAAATGAAGCCAAAGTTGTAAGTGTTCCACTCCCATTGGGCATAATCTCTTTTACTGGGTAAATTGCATACTCAGAAAGAAAACAGTCTTGATTTGTAGTAACTGGGTATTCTCCAGGTCTTGTACTGTGAGCTTTCCTGAGGTCTCTTCACTTCCACCCCCCCCCCCATTCCCCCTCCAACACACCCTCATTTTAGTTACAACAGGAGAGATGATAGCTTTTCCACTGCCGTTCTGGTTTTCTTCTTGTCTTTTTCTCATTGCAAATATCACGTTAATTTTGCAGATAGGCAGCTTCAGTCAGTTCAAGAGGTGTCCCTACAAATATGTATCATACATCTATGAATCAGTATGATTTTCTTGTGTGTGTTTTGGGAATTGAGGTCTCTCAAACACTTTTCATGAAGTGGAATATGCACGGAAAGGAGAGCTCTGTATTTAACACTTACATTGCTCTCTTTCTCCAAAAATGCTGCTGGAAGGATGATTGTAGGCTTTTTGGTAACTGTCACACAATTACATACTTTCCTCTAAAGTAGTATTGTTTTGAATATCAAACTTCATTGAATGCTGCAATTTATTTTTGTGGGGAAAGAAATATTTATTACATTCAAACTTATTTTACCTGGCATGGATGTAGCCGTTGGAATTCATCTCCCGTACATTACTGCTTCTCCTATGTGGCTGGTGTTTTTCAAGGAAATCATAGGTCTAAAAATAGTCTGCATAAACAACAGTAAGAGGTCTGTACTTTCAGTTCCAGGTTTTAGAAATCTCTCGTTGTTTTCTAATTGTCAGAGTTTCCAAAACCCCTTGCGTTCTTATGAAAGTGAAAAAGAGAGTTTGTGGAAGCCTGTTGTAAAATGTTACACTGAGATATATATTGTGTGGAAAGACTGGGATGTTTCAAAGTCGCATAGGTGATTAGTATAACAGCGTTCATAGCATAGCAAGAATTCCTGCATCAAATATTCTCCTGCTTATGAAATATACATTGTCACCACATGTTCCTGAGACTGCAGTTTTAAAAGCGGAATGCCTTTATTACCTGTTGAACCGTTTGTCTCGTCTGAATCCATAGATAGTCTTACCCTGAACACCCTGATTTTTAATTTTTTCGAAATGGTGTTTGTTTTTTACTCTAAACATCACATACTATTTGATTAGTACCCTGGAAGGTTTGAGAACAAATCCGGTATGAGCAGTGGCGTACAAGTTTCCCTACACTGCTCTGTTTTCATGCCTTTAGGTCTACCTCAGTCTTCAGCAGTACCGCTGTGAAAACGTTGTCAATAGGAGCTGCTTTTTAGGTGTAAATTTTTTTAAATAATGCTTCTACTGCTTCCTAAGATATAGCCAAATGTTTCTAAACTTGCAAACCTGGAAATGTGTAAAAGTCTGATATGGGTATGTAGTGACCAAATTTATTGCTGGTGACTCTTCACTGGCGTGTGGGAGGAATTGATCATTTTTGTCCAGTTCCCAGTGCACAACGTCTGCTTCACAGAGCCTGTGGTAGAGTTGGTGCTAATTGCCCCTATCTGTAGTCTTAGCAGAGTGACCAGTGAATAAATAAGCATGGAGACTGAGATGCTTTCTTGACCCTAGAGAAGGTCAACCAGGTGAGGGTTGAAATGCATTGTTCAAAGAGTCTGTAGGAACAGGAGGGCAAAACTTGTATTTCCACTACTTGTGCTATTGCTGTTCTATGGACAGAGGGGTTTGGTCAGAAGGAATTTCAATGTGGCATCTTTCAAAAATACGGTGCTTCTAGATTGTAGTAAATTACCAAAAAAGCTAACTGCAGAGGTATTTTCAGGCCTCTCGGTAATATGAATATGGAGACTGTAAAAGTGCTGTGTCGCTTGGATACCTATTTGGTATGACAGGTGTGATGTGGATAAGTTTGTAGTATAAAATCTGGATATTGCTGTAGGCAGAAATATTGAGAATCTATGAAAGGTGGGCTGAGAGGGAAGAACTTTCATATAGTTGAGTTGCATTGGTGTCAACGTACACTAGAGCCTGTTCTCTTCATCCATTGTTTGTCTTTGTACTAGTGGGGTATAAAGCATATATATTAAGGCATTTTCTTGATAAATGTGTGAGTATTTTGCAACTGCTGTGAAACAAGTAATTAATAAAGCGGCATCCTGGGATTTTTCCTTCCGGTTAAAATGAAAGGAAATCAGAACGGAAGGATTACTGCTAAAGGCATTTTAAAGACCACATTAGCCTTGAGATCTTCTTTAGTTGTATTAATCAATTTGAGTAATACATATCTTGTTATGGCTAATTAATCTTCCATTGCCTACTCTGGTAAGTAAACTAGAAACACTTCTGCAAACAATCAAAGGACAGATCAGTCCTACCTTACTCTGAACTTCATTAGTGACATAATTGGTGCAGGGATTTCACCCATTCTTTTGAAATAAAGTAGTAAAGTTTGATTTCAAAACAGTGTTCATGTCTTATTTTTGTAATAACTAAATGCAATGAAAGAAATATTTTGCCTAATGTTCTAATGTTGGGAATAGCAGAGTATCATAGCACAAGTTATGTTAATGTTTAGATATTGATATTTGTCCACACGGTTTGTAAAAATAAAACTACATGTGTGTTTCTTAACAATGAAATTGTTTTCCTGAAAATTGCAATGAGATTATCAGAAAAGTTGATTAAATTTGTGTTCCTGGCCCTCTGCTGGTTAGCGGTAGCCAATGCAATTCTTTTTATATTGCTCTTGCAGACACAGTGCCATATGTATGTTAAATAATTTACATCACCTCAGCATTTTTTGTATGTATGAAATGTAAGACGGGGGTGGGGACGACCCAAATGCCTGATAGCCTATCTTTTAGGTGAAGTGTACTCAAAAGTTGTACTTAAACTTTAGATACAGATCACAAACTTATTTGACAATGAATTTTTTTCACAGTTTTCTAGACAAGATTGACATAGTCAAACAAAATGAATATACACCATCTGACCAGGTGAGTAAAATTTATATTAAGTAATTCTATAACCCAACCACTATCTATTTCCCATTGCCAAGAATAACTGAGCTTTGAATTTCACAATATATATTTTAGCTTCCTTTTGTTGAATTGGCAGCTGCAGTCTCCATGATAGATGCCAACCTATGTTGTATGATGTTTAACATTGCACTGAAAATAAAGTTTACATTTATATGCTTTGATCTCAGCTCAAGTGTATCAGGAGCAAAGAACTGTGACGAGAAAAACTGCCCAGGTTAAAGTAAAGGTCAAACTTCTGCAGTAGTAAAAGCCTTCCCTTGTAACCAGTGGAATTCGAACTTCATAAAGTCAACTCCACCAGCTGAATAACTGCCATAGATATTCCTTCTTAACTTAAATTTGGTTTATGCTTTCTCAGTCCTCCTGGCTCCCACTGCAAACTAGCTCCCTACATAAGGCAGGGGGCCACATTGCTGACCATTAAAGATTAGCTTTCCAGCCCTTTTCGTACATGTTACCTGTAAAATCAGAGGACTGCCTTTTATTAAACTGAATGACAGAATAGCCTACCAATCAATAGTCTATCAGTTTAAAACAGCACTTTCTACAGGACAGTATTGTTGTAGTGAAAATGTAGTCTGACTCAGTGTTTTGTAATTAAAGGCAAGTGTCAATAGCACTGGCAAACTTCCTTTGCAAACAACGCTGGCTTGGGATCAGTGCATTCAGAGCTAGCAGAAGCTAAACTCCAGGCATGTTCTGCCCAATCAAAGTGAAGTTATCCTATTTTCATAATATGCCCACTTTCATGCAGAATCACTTCATTAGTTACCCAAAAAAAAGTATGCTTAAAGTACAGCTAGTACTTCAGTTTCTAAGATTTAAATTAACATTATGGTAGAGTATGCAAATGTAAAACTAATTGGGCTAGGGAAACCTAATTATAACAAACTGTGGACCAGTTATTACTCCATAATGCACAGGAGCCTGGATAAAGCCAGCTGTTGTCAGTTTTTGGTACAAAGCTGGACTGTACTTTATATAAGCAAAATATGTTGCAGTCCTTGATTTTATTTATTAACATGCTGTTCAACAACAACATCCATTTTAAAACACTCAAGTCCATATCCAAGCCCTGATCCACACAAGTGAGCTCTTGTGCCTGTCCACAGCTCCAGTGCTCTGCAAGCACTCAGAGATCTACCCTCATGGATCCGACTGCAGCATCGGGGCCAAAAATTGCTCACAAGACTTATCATATGCGTGGCCCAGCGAATAGATATCTAGACAGCAGAACAACAAAGCTTTCACATTCTACTAAAACAGTCAAACAACTGAACGAATTTTAAAGGTCAGGCTGCTATGGATAGATTCGAATCAACACCCTCCCCTTGAAAAAAGAAAAGGAGGACTTGTGGCACCTTAGAGACTAACCAATTTTTTTGAGCGCTTCATCCGATGAAGTGAGCTGTAGCTCACAAAAGCTTATGCTCAAATAAATTGGTTAGTCTCTAAGGTGCCACAAGTCCTCCTTTTCTTTTTGCGAATACAGACTAACACGGCTGCTACTCTGAAACCTCCCCTTGAAAAGAATCCAATTCCAGTAGACCAGAGGCTGTAGTAGGACATGTTTTGTTAGGATTTGGTAGAGCTTTCTATTACTGTGGCTTCTCTAACAGTACTTGATACTTCTAAACATTTCCCTATATCAAAATAGCCTTTGATTATTTCTTTAGAATCTGTTGCAATCCCTTTAACTCATATCGAACAAAATATGGTTCTTTATGTGAACTGGCCAGCTCATCATAAATTAAGAATGTGATCCTGTGACTGGATCCATGCAAGCAGACTTCCTGTACCTGTGCAGTGTTCCAGTGGCCTCCACGTGGGCCATAGGGATCTTCCATTGTAGATCTTAAGGCAGGATCAGGGTTCAAGAAGTTTGAAGAAGTAGAAAAGTCAGTTTTTAATTACCACAAAGAGAAAAAAGAGCATTCTGACAGATTGCTTCCTCTTCAGGTGGAGACCCTCCTCTTTATGAGAGAACCGTTTCTCAAGTTACCAGATAGAATGGTCATAAAATAAGTGTAGTCATTTCTGATTTGTAAGTTTTCCAATAGTTGATGATGATCTGAAATTTAATTCATGCCCAGTGTTATCTAACCCCTGTTTTCAGCAAGGATTAGAAGTGCAGACTGACCTTTACCCACTTACAACTCTGATTTTCTTTGTCCCTTCTAAAATCACCCTTTCATCTAATTTCCTCTAATAGTCTAAAGTCCCTTCAGGGTTCTTCTAATAGTCTTTCCAGAGTTACTGGAAAAGAGCTTTGTATACAGCAGCTTTGTCAGTGTGTTTTATTATTAAGACAAAGTGGGTGAGGTAATATCTTTTATCAGACCAGTTGTGTTTATGAAAAATACAAGATCTGAAGAGCTCTGTGTAGCTCGAAAGCTTCTCTCTTTTGCCAACAGAAGTTGGTCCAGTAAAAGGTATTTCCTCACCCACCTTGTCTCTCGAATATCCTGGGATCAACATAGCTACAACAACAACATTTTATTTCTGTCACTATAGGGATTGTAGCTTTTGTTTAGTTTGCAAATAATTTGAGCTTTTGTTTGAGGACCAAACCACCAATCCCAAGACACAATGCACATGCACTTGACTTTGTGCACATGAGTAGTCCCATAAAGCGTGCACATGAGTTTCTGCAGAACAGAAGCCAAAAATGTTAGGCCATATGAAAAAACACCTCCCAGAAGAACAAAAGTTTTAACAACGAAAAGCGCCAGTGTGGCAGCGTTTAGTTGGTGGGGGACGCTCTCCCACCAACAAAGCTACTGCCCCTCACTGGAGGTTGTTTCATTTAGTCGCCTGGAGAGCTCTCTCCCAGCAACAAAGAGCAGCTACAGCCCAGTGTGTACCTTACAAAAGCACAGCTGCAGCGTTAGTTTTCCCAGAACTGTTTCAAGCAACAGTGATGAGGAGAGACCAATTTGCATCTTTTGCTCTTGAGATTACTTGGGGGTCAATTTACTCATTTATCCTTCTAAAAGCTGAGTTTCTTAAAAACTATTTATTCTTTTTTTTTTAAAAAAAATTGGGATCAATTATCTGTATTAAAAAATAAACACAGATTACCTGAAAAGTTTCTTTTTGAATTGCAAAGATTAGCCTGCAGATATTAAATCATAAATGTAATGTTTCAAATTTGTATTGGAGGCCAGTGATGGCAGGAGCTTTGTGTATTATTAATTATGTGCTTGTTTGGGACCACTGACCACTTCAGTGGAGCTTCATATATGTGCGGGAGAATGCCCATGTGGAGTAGTGCTTCACTTCAGACATTCTGAAGATGGCCACTTGTGTTTTGAAACTTGCACTGATTCTAGAGCCTGACAGCTTCTAGTTTTTTCAAATTTCATTTGTTAATTATCAGATAATTTTTTTAAAAAATTATTCCTAACAAATGGATCTAGTTAGAATATTTCAACATACATATATCAAATAAAATAAGTGTTCAAGAAAAGTAGCAAGTTTGCAACAATTTGCTCTTAAAGAAGTGTCTGTAAAATGCAGCCATTTTGTTTAACAGTATTGTCTAACCTTTTGGATTTTGTATAGTTGTGTGACTCTTTAAGCTTAAACAGTGACTAACTTATGATTCTTTTAATATAAGATCAGTGCAATAAGGGAGTGGCTTTTAATGCACTCATCAATTCCTTAATATTCTACTCCATTCTTGTGGTCTTATCTCTATGGTCCAAATGTAAGATCCATTTGTAACAGTGCTCAGTACAGTCTCAGTAATATCAAGATCAGTAACCATGGTAGTTTAAGTCCTGGATTTTAAAAACCTTCAGTCAGATTCAAAATAATGTTTCCTGTTAGGCTTCAAATAAATTAAATCTTGAAAGTTCATGTTCTATCTATATCTATTTGCGTCTATGTTAATTACCCTTTAGGCCAGTGGTTCTCAAACTTATTTTTTCACGGACCACTTGAAAATTGCTGAGGGTCTTGGTGGACCACTTAATGATCTTTCCAAATGTTGTTTGTACCGTTAGCTAACTATTGTAAAGCTCTTTGGATAAAAGTGCTATATAAAAAACCCTAATTAACGTGATTTTTTTCTACAAAATAAAAGCACACAACTCATATTTTAATATCCGTAGTCTCTCCCCCACCATGGCAGCCACCGAGCTGGACTGGGAAGGAGGGGGTTCTCTCACCTGCAGCCGCAGCCCTAGAACTGGAGCAAGTCTCGTCTTTCTCTGGCTGCCGCAGCCCTTCACATCCTAAATTCCCCCTAACCCTTCTTCTCACCCCACTTCCCCCCCCACCTCCTATTTCCCCCACCTCACCCCACTGCCACACCTACCCTCTATTCCCCCCAAGGCCACCACCTCACCTTACATGTGCATCTTCTCCAGGGTCCAGGCACCTAATTAGTGGAGTCACGCCTGTGCGGCTCCACTAATTAGGTGGGCAGCCCTTCATTCTTTCGTGGGCGGCCACCCAGGTGCATTCCTTAGAAGGAACTATCTGCAGATCACCTGAATGGAGCTTGGATTAATTTTGTTGTCTTATGCTCAGAAGTTTATAGTCTGATTTTTAAAGGTGGTGCTGAGCATTCACTGCCCCTCTAAATCAGTGGAAGTTGTGGCTTATCACCTGAATGTCAGACCTTCAGTGGATTCTTATAAGATTTAGTAGATCTGAAGGCCACATCCTCAGAAGCGCTCAGCACCTGCGTTTGCCATTTTGCAAATGTTCGTTGCTTCTCAGGATTTGGCTCTCGGATTCTGATTGTGCAAATGCTTGTTAAGCATGTGTACAAATTTTTAGGATGGGGGTCTTTGATTCTCAACTTCACCCAACTTCACATACGCTCCGTTTCTCTACAGCACTGAGTACAAGAGCAGCACTCAGCAAATTATTATATTTTCTTTTCAAATTTGGAGGTTTGAAGAATAATCAAATCACTGCTTTGAATAAATGACTTTTTCTCTTGTTCTCTAGGACCTGCTGAGATGCAGAGTTTTGACATCAGGAATTTTTGAAACCAAGTTTCAGGTGGACAAAGTAAACTTTCAGTAAGTATCCTTCTTCATTTAGTATTCCGAAGAATGACACCTGGCAAAAGTGATTAGGCAAAGAGGAGAAAATGCCATTTTAGGCCAGTTTATATGCTGGAGACAGCATTCGTATTGCTGAATTTAACACTTAACGGAAAGCAATTATTTTCAGATACTTCTGTCTAAGAGCTTTCCATTTTAAGTTTTAAAAACACCATGGGAATTGGCCGACCGCTTTCTGCTTTTGATTTAATGCCAAAGAACTGGTGGGTTTTTTTCACAAGTTTTGATAAAGCTTTTTGATAACTTGATTCTCCTTTACTCTGTCTTTCTATAAGCCTGAAAATAACTTTCCTGCTGATTCTGCTTTTTTTAAATGGCAAACATCTTTTCTTCGGTTTTAATGCAGCTGACGTTAAAATTGATACTGTTTTGTTCAGCAACAAATGTGTATATAGCATTTTATCCTACCAAAATATCTGTTTTGTGCATTTGTATCAACTTCTCTGATAATGCAAAGCCAGAAGAGGAAGCAGAAAATGCACTTTTATAGATAATATTAAAATAATGGGGCCATGTCTAGTTATTTTTTTAATTGCTCAGCAGTAGAGTTAAAAGAAGATATGTACACACACACACGTTTAAAAGAAGATGTATACAAAAACCATTTTATTGGACCAATTCTGCCCTCTGATAAGGGTCTGCAGCTCTCGTTGTTCTCAGTGGAAACTGCATATAATTTGTCCCACAGAGCACAATTTTTTAAAGTAGTCACTTAGGCCCAATCTGTACAGGTGGGTCACTGCATCTGAGTGGAGCCCTCCTGATTTCAGTGGCACTTGGTGTAGGCTATGGCATCTGCCTAAACATATCTCACTTTTAAGACTGGGACCTAAAATTGTACTCTGGGATCTTGTTATTTGCTTCAGCACTAAGAGTCTGTCTACACTGCAATAAAACGCCTGTGGCTGGCCTGTATCAGTTGACTCGGGCCGTGGGGCTCAGGTTGGGGGGCCATAAAATTGCAGTGTAGTTGTATGGGCTTAAAATGGAGCCCAGGCTCTGGGACCCTGACCCTCACCGGGTTTCAGAGCCTGGGCTCCAACCCAAGCCCAAACATGTACACCGCTGTTTGTGGCTCCACAACAAGTCACCTGACCCAGGCTCTGAGACTCACTGCCACAGGCCTTTTTGTACTCTCTGCGCTGTTACCTAGATTCTTTTTCCCGAATCTCTTCATTTCATGACCTAATCTCTAACTTAAACTCTGGAGTTGGTCTGTACTCTGCTTGCCTTTTTAATTCTGTTTTGGTTTCCTGTAGTTTCCTTTTCCTCTCCTTCCTGTTGCCTTTCATATTATCTCTTGGAGAGTGTCTGTCAACCAGTTTTATCTAAATATAAAAGAACAGAGAGAAACTTTTCTTTGAACTGCTTCTATGCCTCCTTTTCTTCCAGGTCTGTCGTGTTCCATATATAACAAAAGTTTAAAATCAGTGTACTGACAAAGCTGTCCAAAATCTGTGTGTGTATCAGAGTAACAGAAGGTGCACGCTTTCCGCCCTTTTCCAGTTTATAAGGAGCTGGTGCTTAACGGTTGTTTGATGGCATTGACCCAAAAATGCTGACTCTTAAATATCAGTCTGATATTGTTGAACCTAGATCTACAGTATCTGTGTAAGGAAACCTCTCATTGTAGTAGTTTTATTAAATGTCTCTTTGATCAGTGAGGACAAATAAGAACCCTGTGATATGCTTCAGCAATTCTAGCTTTTCTTGTCTTTTTAATGCAAAAGAGGGAATGGGCTTGTCTACATGAAAACTTGGTGGGCGGCAAGCCAGGTATGAATGTATAGCTGACTAAGTCACTGTGTGATCCTGCTACCACGTATTAAAAGTTTGATAGTGTGCTGTGACGTACTGCTATTTCAAATAGAACTGTAATACTTTTAGTGTGCCATAGAGAGTCCATCCACACGGACAACAGTTCATGTGCAGTTGTCTTGCGTTCTGTAGATTTACACCCCAGCTTGCCGCGCACTAACTTTTCATGTAGCCCTAAAAGTACTACATTACTTTCTGGGGTGAAAACCTCTTTGCACTGACAATTAGGCTGTTACTCTTACCTGCAGATTCTGGCAGTCCTTTGTCTCATTAGGTTCTAAAAAATGGGGAGTCCTGAGGTTGTTTACATGCTCTGTTCACATACAGCATTTACCCTTACTTTAAATACTGTATGTCCGAGTCAGGAGAGCAGCGGTGTTTTTGTACAGTAAGTGACTAAGATTTTTTCCTCTTTAGCATGTTTGATGTTGGAGGGCAGCGAGATGAACGCCGAAAATGGATCCAATGTTTCAATGGTAAGATTTGGGATTTATTTTTTTTATCAAATTTAAAAAATAAAAGTTCATTGCAATATTTTAATGTAAATAACAGCACATGATATTTAACTCCTGTCCTCTTTAGTTGTCTGAAATCACAAGGTGTCTCTTTGAACAGACGGATTGGCTAGAATTTGTATCATCATGTAATCTACTGTAACTGTTCTGAATGTCTTGAGTGAAAATCTGGGTGGGAAGGAAAGAAAGCTGGGTAAATTAAAATAGTTTATCCAAACTTCCTGCTGTCATTTAATTCATTCTCCTTTTTGTGAGTTGCCCATGAATTTCCAAACTCTGTCTGTTCTGTCTTTACAAGTGAAGGGCTACATGTCTTCTGGAGAGGTACAGCATAAATACGGATGATCAAATTAGAATGCCACATTATTGTGTGTGAGAGAAGCTATGTTGCTGACCCAGGAGATGCCACTCTTCCAAGTTAAGAGTGAACCATTGCCTCAGTATGGTGCTAGGGAGCCCTTTGGAGGTTCTGTCTTTTGGATAAGTTGTAAAATTGACGTCTGGAGTGGCACTGCTCATAAAGTTTTCCACTGAGTTTTGAAATTGTTGCACTTTCTTAGGCACCCATGTATTTCTGTAGGACAGCTTTTAAAATAATCGTATAGAATGTGTTAGGCCCTGTCTAAATTGACCAGGAAAACGCTAACCACCTTGCTGGGGAAAGCTCCTTGGTAAGCTCCTTCCTCTAGAATGGCACTTAAAAGTCCTTCGCACTTTTCTCAAGAGCTGGACTGTTAACACTTTTTTTGTGTCCTGGCCAAAATTCATTTTGAGTAATCTAGTCTTTCGTAAATTCCCCCTGTAGTTTAAATTGTCCATAGTCCTCTGTGTCCTGAACCTAATGTGTGTGAGTTTTGTACAGCTGCTGCATTCCCTCCCCCTCTCCCCAAGGTGTCTGTATATCAGTTGTGTGTGAAGCATTTCTTTTGTTCACATAATTTTGTAAAGCTAAATCTAGTCAAAAATTTTCGGGATCTTGATGTTAACTACTGGGTGTTTCTTGATTTAGATGTGACTGCTATCATATTTGTGGTGGCCAGCAGTAGCTACAACATGGTTATACGAGAGGACAATCAGACCAATCGGCTTCAAGAAGCACTAAACCTCTTCAAGAGTATCTGGAACAACAGGTCCATGAATTGAAGTTTTATCATTAATTTCACATGCATTAGTAACACTGTGTTATATTGATAAAGTTAATCTTTGGTACAAAGTGCACCATTTCTATTTCTGACATGGCCCATTCAATCATTATCTTTGATCTCCACTGTAAACTTGCTATATGGAATACTAACATACAGTATTAAAATCTAAAGGAAGAAAACTACACAGTATTGGAAAAATGGAAGTCATAAAACTGGAAAAAAAATAAAATAAGCTTAAGAAAAACTGTGATAGTACAGAATATGAATATATTCTCTAAAGCAGTGGTTTTCAACCTTTTTTCATTTGCAGATCCCTAAAATATTTCAAATTGAGGTGTGGACCCCTTTGGAAATCTTAGACATAGTCTGTGGACCTGCAGAGGTCTGCAGACCACAGGTTGAAAACCAACATTATGTTTTTTGTTATTGGTGTTTAAGCTCAGCCATACATTCTAACAATATTTGGCTTCAATTTTCTTTAGGTGGCTACGGACCATTTCAGTAATTCTTTTCCTGAATAAACAGGATTTGCTAGCAGAGAAAGTTTTGGCAGGGAAATCTAAAATTGAAGACTACTTTCCAGAATTTGCTCGCTACACTACACCAGAGGATGGTAAGAGCATTGTTCTCATCTTTTTAATAAACCAGTATCATCAAAGTACCACTTCCTTGGACTATAGTATATGTTAATTGTGTACATAACATTTATTGGAAGTTTCAGATAAACTTTAAAGCAAGCAAATTTCCAGCGTTGAAAAAATGTTCAGTACCTTTCGGACAAATTGTAATTTAAATGTTTCTTCAGTCCCAGTAGAGGACATTATCTGTTGGACATACACAGAGGCATCTCAGCATGCTAGCGTTTTATTACGCACTTTGTTGCTGGACTCCACTGCAGCCTCAGTGCAGTGGTGGGGTGCAGCAGTGTCCTTTGAGGTGCAAGATTCCATGGGAACTCCCTTGCTGTGTGTGAGAGCACTGAAGGTTCATTTTGTCCCTTATCCCAGGTGTGGTAGGTAGCAAGAAGTTAGAATAACTAAGTGGGGTCAGTAATGATCCTTAAAAAAAAAAAAAAAAAAAAAAAACTCTCTAAGGAAGTTTCCATCTCATATTATGTGGTTACTTATCAAATAAATATACTTTAATGCCCATCAGCCTTCCTTTATCTGCAACCAGAGTAGTTCAGCTCAACCTAGTCAATGGCATTAGGGGTCATATGGTTCTGCAGGTTACCTGTAAGTTTCTAACCGAAGCTCGTATTTGCACTAATATTTCCTTAAATTCTGACATTATGGGCACCATCATGTTTTGTTGCTTTCCTGGAGTCTTGTTGTTTTAGATACCATATTAGAGACTAGAACTATAATACTTTATATTAAGAAAATTGTTTCTATTGCAACTGAGCAGAAAACAAAGACTAGTTCATAAAGTTGATAGTCAGTGGGTAAGTTATGATTTTCAGAATCATTACTGTGAAACACCTACTTTAACAAATGCTTATTGTATTATTATTATTATTATTATTATTATTATTATTTATTAACTAGCAACACCAGAGCCTGGTGAGGATCCCAGAGTTACAAGGGCCAAGTATTTTATCAGAGATGAGTTTCTTGTAAGTATTTTCTTTTTTCTATGTATGTTTTTCTGTCATACACTTAACTGTGTTTTAATATTGCAGAACTGTTTGCCTGCTCTTACAGTGGCTTATATTTAAGCTGTGTGCTATGTAATGTACCCAAGCTAGAGGTTTAAAAGGTGTTGGTTATTTTAGCTACTTTTCATATATTTGTTTAACAAGATACACAGTTAAATGATTAGAATAATTGTGGAGAATCTGTAATTCTCAAATGGGAGATAATGGGTGAATCCCTAACCCCACTGACCTCAGTAGCAAAACTCGCATTGACTTCAATGGGAGCCAAGATTTCATCCACTACGTCACTTCGAAAGGAAGTTGTGATTCAAATCAATATATTATCTGCTGAATATTAATATTCCCTTGTATCATTCCTATCATCTCATTAGCCAACTGATTAGTTGTAGTAACAATTGTTTAAGTATTTGTACAATAAGTACCTGAATTGGGTGTCATTATTATTAGAGATACTGAGCATTGCAATAAAAATTGGGACTCATCTATACCAGAGCCAAAAGAAATACTGAGAGGCTGTGTGTAGTTTGTGAAGAGGGGCTGAAGATTCACATGCAGGCAAAATTCAGCGCTCTGGAGGGGGAAGTTCACTATGGGAGTTGTGTGGACCAGTGCCCTCCCACCTGCACATAAATTTCCCCATTAATGGGAATCAGTGAAGTTCTCATCTCTGTAGCTACAGTTCAGTTCCCAAATACTCAATTTTTCCGCAAGCAACCCTGTTCCCCTAAAGTTAAATCCTGGGGGTGAAAACCTGATCCCACTGAAGTCAATGGGAGTTTTGCCACTGACTTCAGTGGTCTCCAGATTTCATCTTAGAACAACAGTTCTCAAACTGTGGGTCAGGACCCCAAAGTGGGTTGCGACCCCATTTTAATGGGGTTGCCAGGGCTGACTTAGACTTGCTGCAGTCCGGGGCCGAAGCCTGAGGGCTTCAGACCTGGGCAGTGGAGCTCAGGTTACAGGCCCCCTGCCCGGAGCTGAAGCCCTTGGGCTTCGGTTTTGGCCCCCACCATCCATGCAGCGGGCCTAGGACAGGCTCAGATTTCAGGCCCCCCCTTCTGTTGTTGTGTAGTAACTTTTGTTGTCAGAAGGGGGTCGTGGCGCAATGAAGTTGGAGAACCCCTATCTTAGAACTTACATAATGTCCTCGCCAACATTCATCTGAGGCTTGAGAGCTTCATTTTTCCAGACAATTTTATTTTGACACACAATTTCTCTGTATTATTTCTACAGAGAATCAGCACAGCAAGTGGAGATGGAAGACATTACTGCTATCCTCACTTCACCTGTGCAGTGGATACAGAAAACATCCGGAGGGTTTTCAATGACTGTCGGGACATTATTCAACGGATGCACCTTCGCCAATATGAGTTGTTGTGATGGAGAGCACTTTTTTCTGTGTTTTGGACTCCTTATTCCTTATTAAAAAAAAAAAAAAAGAAAAACAAAAAAGAAACAAAAAAAACCCTTGCCCACATAGGGTGGAAGAGAACTGTTGCAGTCTCCCTCTGATTTGCACCCCTCAACTTTTTCTCCTTGCTGGACAACAGCAGCACTTCTAAGCTTGCTTGTGTCCCCCTCAGACAGTTTGAGATGGCACCTAAAACTTAAAGGCCATTTTCATGGTGGGTTCCCTAACACTGTTGTTAACAAAATTAATTAATTAATGAATTAAAGGCCCTGAATGTGGAGCACCTGAAAGGATTGGGGATAAAATTAAAAAAGTAAACAAAAAAATGGGGAGAGAAAACCTTAGGTAATTTAGCACTGTTGTGGGCATAATCATATAACCCATGATTTCAACTTTGTATCCATTCACTGCATCAGACAAAAGAAGGTGCCAAGTCACAGACCAAGTTTGAAGACAGACACTTGAGTTTGGTTCTCTGACTGTAATGTGGCTTTGAACGGAAATACTGACAATTCTACAACAGACCTAGACAGTGCAAAAACTAACCGCTACCTTTCAGAAGGGTATTTTTAAATCCAGTCTTGGTGGTCTTAAGATGACCATGGACGTTATGAATTGAACTGCGTATGGCCTGTGATTGCAGAAAGAGTTAACCACATACTGTTTTCCGTTTGTCCACTGATGATCCTGTCTGCTATAAAAATCATTATCTGGACTTTAGTCCTCACGGTCTTTCCCTTCTTTTTCTTCTCCCCTGCCCTCATTTTTTTATTTTACTGCTGGATTATTATTCTTGTACAGACTGTAAAATGTATTATTTTGTACAACTTTATTGAAAAAATAACTTGTAGAAGATCTTTGTGCCTTGATTATGGCTGTACCTGTACAATGAGCTAAGATGTAAGTATGTTTGATTGCGCTGTACAGCTTTGTCAACCCTATCTGCAGCATTAGCTCAAGGTAGGGAAAATTTATCTGTAGTTTAGTTTTTCTGGTTTATAAAAGAAGGAAAAATACTGTTTAGTAAAAAACAAAAAAACAAAAAAAAAGTACAAATTGTGCAAACTTAACCACTTTAAAAGTGAGGTCTTCAACAAGTGACCAGATGTTGCAGCATCATGCTTTTTAATTTTTAGCTTTAATTCATTTAAATCTCTATCCAAATGCAAAACATGGCTTGTTTCTACATAAACCAAATTTTGCTACAAATTATAAATGTTAGTCTTTGGTCATTCATAGTCCTTTTCACAAAAGTCAAAAACAGAACAAAAACAAACACATAGGCATCATGCAGGTCTGCTGACCATCTGTAGACTGGGCCAAACACCCCACCAAACTCGACTATCCTGCGTGGGCATAATACTACAAGAATGATAAGGTGTATACCACCCTTGGATTTGGTCACTGAATTCCAGTTTCAAATGACATTTTTATCTCTCTTTTAATAAAGAGATACCTTAGAACCTTTTTATTTTATATTAACTATATAAGTAGCTTAAAGTGAAGATGTGTGGATTTTTTCTTAAACTTGAATAATTTATGCAAATTATATGCTTAGAACAACATGTGGTACAGTAAAAAGAAAAAAGAGCAAAAATCACTGTAGCAATAAGAGAGCATGTAATTTTAGTAACTACTACACTGCTTTATATTTTATACCTAGGTGTTTTATGTCTCTGTGAGTGTATTACTTTTTCATGTGTCTAAACCTACGTGTACAATTTGTACAAAGTCAGAAATTACAGCTGTAATAACACATCTAGAACAGTGTTAGCATATATTACTCAAACGCCCTTCTCCACTCCCTCCCTCCTACTTACTCCCCCAAACCAATCTGGATCTTAATGCAGTGAATTTTTTAAAAATTACCTCTTTGCCTTTCACACTAGCTTTTTTTTCACAAGATGTTAATTACTTTTTGGGAAGAGGTCCAATTTAAATTAATGCTAGGGTGTGGTCAGCAATGTGTGTGTGGCTAGATTTGCTACAGGTACCAGATGCCTTTTTAATGTTACAAACTGTAACCATTCAGAATTGAGAATTTTTTGTTGTTCTTGATTTTGTGGCTTCCTTTAATGAGGAAATTAACCACCTGGTCCTTTTTAACACATGTAGAAAGCAAGGACTTAGTGTTGGTAATATCTCATTCCCCATTTGGTTCAAAATGACTAGTGATCTTTCAGAAGACGTTAAATTGTCTTGAAACTTTGGCTGCAATTGCTAATCAGATTTGAAAAACCTGTCTGTCCAGTTCACAATTTGGAAAGCTGCCACCTAAGCTTTGTGAATCGGTAGAAGAGCCTGACCCAAAATAGCCCTCACATTCTTCAATTGGAATCACAACCTGGAGGTTAAGGGTTGGGGTTTCAGTAGGTAAAAGTGGGATGGGGAAAAAAAGGAAATAAAACATGAGCCTTAATTTTTGTTACAGGAGCAAAATCCTTTTAAGTTTAGTGCCAACCCTTATCTTTTTAAGCCTGGAGGGAGTTGGTGGAAGCATCAAATTTATATACAAGTGGGGGAAATCTAATGGTAAGGAATGGTTTCAGAGCAGCAGCCGTGTTAGTCTGTATTCGCAAAAAGAAAAGGAGGACTTGTGGCACCTTAGAGACTAACCAATTTATTTGAGCATGAGCTTTCATGAGCTACAGCTCACTTCATCGGATGCATTCAGTCAAAATGCATCCGATGAAGTGAGCTGTAGCTCACGAAAGCTTATGCTCAAATAAATTGGTTAGTCTCTAAGGTGCCACAAGTCCTCCTTTTCTTAATGGTAAGGAATGTAATCTCTGATCTGAGAAAAAGAAAGCACCTCCTCTTAAAAATAAAAAAAAAAATGTCAAACTCCTTCCTCTGACAATGACAAGGATACACAAGCATATGTAACAAAGAAGAAATAGATAAGACAAAATACTATTTTAAGAAACTTTCTGATAAAGCTTTATATGAATGGAAATGTTTAGGAGATGCTTTTTTTGAGAGAGAGAGAAGGCAGTGTATTGAAAAGTCAGGTTGCACATGTATGGAGTGTGTGTGTGTCTTAATGTCTCAGTATTGCCTTTGTTAGTTTCTTTAGTAGTCCATGCAGTTTGGTGGCCTGGTAAACGCAAGTCTTATTTTTAACAGCTTTTCTTTTTTGTTTTGTTTTTATTTTTAATACAAAACCATAAAGCTTTAATGCTTGCTGTTTAATTAGTAACTGTGTTTTCTTCTGTCTTTAATTTAGTAGCCATAATTTGAAGTTATTTGAACCATTCCAACTTAATGCTTGCTTATATTTTCTTAGTTTTGTTATTTTCCCTCCCCTTCCCTCATTTATTTATTTGAACTTCTTGTTTTCATAATTGAGGACTTTCACCTTTTGTCTCATTCACCTGTTTGGGAATTTCTGACCCTTACATCCAAGACTTTACTCATTCTACTCAGTATTCATTGATGCTGAAGTGTAAGATACCTGCAAATGTAAACACTACCACTTCTATTAATAAAAACAAATACAGTGTTTTAGGGGCACATTTGCATCACTATAGTTAAGGTTGTGTCAGTATTTCCATTATAAACCCATAGGGGAGTCTATACCTTGGCACCAAATTGCCCCAGGCTAAATCTTGCCATACAAGGCTTCTGCTCAAGCATGATTTGGAGGGTTGGTTTTTAAACAATTTCCAACACAAACTTTTGGTTCTGTTTTAAATTATACAACTGTTTTGTTGGACAGGGGTTGATTTTAAAAAAATGATTGGTTCAAGATATTTTTGGCACTTGTATAACTCAAAAACGGTTTTGATTTAAAACATAACCTTTGGCAAGCCAGTAATCTACCATATGATCTGATCACTTTGGGTATTTTGTAAAAATGATGATAATAAATGGTAGCAGTGTCGTGGTTTCAAAATCAGCTACTGTGCATTTGCAGTAACTTATTTCAACCCAAGGATTTTGAACAGTGTGGACTTAGTGTATATGTGCAGCAGCCAGTGTGATACAGTCAATAGTCATGTCTCCAGAGGTGCTTTCTACGGTCTGTTGAGGGAAATAATCTATTAACTGTGGAGGATTTACCCTACAAACCCAGATAGCTCAGACAGCATCAACAATGATTTTTTTAAATAGAGGGTGACATCCTGGCCTGACAGAAGTCAATGGGAGTTGTTTTCTTACCACTCACTTCATTGGGCCAGGATTTCACCCAAAGTGTGTGAATGGGGACTAGCATGAGGAACGGGAGCTCATTCCTGTTGTCTCATACTGCACACTATCAAAATTGGTACACACAGAAGAATATTTTTAACCAATAAATCTATGCATAGATTTATCATTTGTTTATAGACGTTTTTGTGGTGCTCATCACTGTAGTATCTGTGCACCTTATAACCATGAACATTCCTGTGAAGTGGGATGTTTGTATTAAATCCCCATTTTACGAATGGGGAAATGAGGTACAGAAAAATGAAATGATTTACCTAAACCACACAGGAAGCTGGTTGCAAATTTGGGGCTAGAACCCAGGTCATCCGAGTCCCAGTCCCGTGCCTTAACAATGAAACCATTGGTTATTGGTGCTATATAAATGCTGAAGGTAGATAAAATAATTATGAGCTATCAAATAATACAAGTTACATTGGAGGGGAAACCCCGTCTATGCCTTTTCGTACAATACATGTGTTTATCCATGTTGGCAATCTTAGCACTGAATCCTTTTCCCTGTGAAGTCAATGACAAAACTCCTGTTAACTTTAAAAAGCAGAATCGGGCACATCGAGTGGCATCAGTGGCGGCTGAGGGCAGTCAATAACTTACAAAACTGGACGCTTGTTCCTTCATAACATATGTTGTGTTTGTACCACCATGAAAAGTATTTATAGGCAAAATCTCTTTGCATTCACAGAGGAAAACTGTACCCCTCTCCTTCAGCTTGGTGTTTCTGAAAGTTCAGCGTTAGGGGGGGGAACCTTCTTCTGCTTTAACAAACTTAGAAAAGCTTTTGAAAATAAAATAAGTTACAAAGGGGATTTCTGAACCTCAGTTGGTGAAACTCCTGACACCAAAAAATGACCTCATTTGGAGACTGGCAAGGTGGGAGTCCCAGCATAACATACGGAACTAGTTTCCATCCTATGTTAATATTGGTGAAACCATCCAAAAATGAAGTTAATCGGTTTGTTTAAATATTAAGCATGCAAGATGGTATTTCATTTCTTAGGTCAGTGTTAAAGCAGGATGGGAACTGCTTTTGAGTATCAACCTGTCAGTATCACACAGAGGTCAGTAAATGGCAGCCATCAGTATTGGGCTCATAATAACGGTTGTACATAATTGTATTTTCAGTTAAATTTCTTTATTAATTGTGAAAACTGCTTTTCATCCTGTCTACTTTTAATGTGCTGAGCAAAGCTGAAAAGGATTTTGGGGTGATAGTGAATCACAAACTGAATATGGGTCAACACTGTCATGCAGTGATGAAAAAGACTAATATCATTCTGGGGTGTATTAACAGGCAGAGCAGTCCCTTGGGTAGGGTGAATCAGGGCAACTGTTCTGGGCCCTGCGCTTTGGGGGGCCCCGCAGGCCGATGCGATTGGCCAGCGCGATCGGTCCCGGAAGACATAGGTGCAGGAACTATGAGTGTGGGGGATGATGCAGCACCCCTAGGCTCTCAGCTGCCTCCCTGGGGTCCCAGCTGCTGCCCTGCATGCCCAGGGCTCTGCCCAGCTGCCGATGCAGAGCAGGCCCCCAAGTCGGCGGGGGCTGATTTGTACCAGGCCCCACACCCCCCTAGAGACAGCCCTGTTTACAGGAGTAGTGTATGTAAGACATGGGACATAATTGTCCCACTCTACTCAGCACTGGTGAGGTCTCAGCTGGAGTACTGTGTCCAACTTTGAGCACCACACTTTAAGAAAGTTGTAGACAAATTGGAGAGAGTCCAGAGGAGAGCTGCAAAAATGATAAGTTTAGAAAACCTGACATATGAGGAAAGGTTGAAAAAACTGTGAAAAGAGAGATGTCTGAGGGTGGACCTGATAGTCTTCTAATATGTTAAAGGTTTTACAAAGAGGTCGATAATCAATTCTTCTACATGTCCACCAAGGGTAGGAAAAGAAGTGATGGGCGCAAAGGAGATTTAGGTTAGATATTAGGAAAAACCTTCTAACTATAAGGATAGCTAAGTACTGGAATTGGTTACTGAGAGACGTTTGGAATCCCTGTCGTAGGTTTTTAAGAATAGGTTAGACAAACACCTGATGGGGTGGTCTAGATTTACTGGCTCCCATAGGTTCCAGGTGAAGCCCCCTGCCCTGCCTGTTCCGGCCGAGGCCAGGCCCCTACTCACTGCTCTCAGCCCCGCCATGTGGCCCCAGCCAGGGCAGGGAGTGGGAATGGCTGAGAGCTCAGTTAGGGCCATGGGGGGGCCCGGGGCTGAGAGCTTGTCCAGGGTCAAGCACTCAGTCCCAGCAGGGACCATGGTGAAGCTTTCAGCCCTTGCTGGAGCTCTAAGCCCAGAGCTTCTCCTCCCCCGTTCCACACCTTCCCCCATGGCCCTGCCCCCCACTTGCTCCTCTCAGCCCTTCCCCCCCACACACACACATACACTGTGGCCCCATGACTTGCTCCTCCAGGCCTGGGGCTATGGAGAGGGGAGATTTTTCTGGGAACCCCAAATTGGCTGGAGTCCTGTAGGCCCATGCAGTAATCTGCCATTGCCCCCACCTCCCCAGACAGTGCAAGGTTTGGGAGGCTTAGCCTCCCCCAGCCTC